ACTGTGCACTAGAGAGATGCAAACACTCTCTGAATCAGTTTGCAAACTCTTATTTTAAAAAGTAAAGCATTTTAAAATGTAAGGCAAATTGCTCCATGTTGTGCTCATTGCAGTCATGCCCTAACTTCTGTTTTAAAATTACTGTAATCTATAAATTGGAAACTACTCCAGTACCTCAGCAAATATGTTCTCTCGCATCTCTTACGTTCATATTTAACACTGGGGAACTCTTCTGTGTGGACTACTTGCAAATTTTATTGCGGTATTTTTAAATCACCAGCTTGACCTCTGAAATCTCTTTTCTGTGGTTATTTTTCTCTCCCCTCTGCAAAGACCTGAAGTTGTGGTGTAGCTTAGCCCAGAGATGGAAAAAACAGACTAGCCAGCATTTTTACCTCTTTCTGATTCAAATTTCCTTTGTTTTTATTTAAAATCAGTGAAAGGGACCACATTTTCCATGTTTTCCATGGTCCCAGGGAGCCAGCAGCCATCTCTCCCTTCCATGTTGAACATTACATGCTTTCTTCCTTGGATGCAGCACTGAAATGGAGGCCACAGCTCTGTTTCACCTGCATTACCTCCAAGCCTGTGAACTTCAAAGAGGTTGAACAACTAAATAAGTGGTGTGATAGCAAACTTTCCGCAGAAAAGTTCCCTGCAGCCATTACTTCCTGGCTTGGGGCCAGGCTGGCATCGCCCTGTGTCCCACCCAGCCCTCCTGCGCCAGAAGAACTGGCACTGCACACTCACTGTGACCTGCACAGGGGTGCAGCCAGGGCACTCCTGGGGCTGTGCTGTTGTTTAAACCCCCAGGACCCCTCGTCTCCAGGCTCCCAGCCCCTCGACCCTGCTTACGTGCCATTTCTTGAGAGGCAATAAATCCTATCGTACCACTGTCTACCATTACTCTGTTGAATACGCACATCTCTCTGGATATATATATGGTATCTCATTTGTATATATTTATATACTCTGTATGTACGTGTGTGTGGGTATAGGTGCACACACACCTCATGCTGTGCATTTCTGTCAGGGCACTTCAGTTCTGCTGTTCTTTAGCGCTCCTGCTTGTGAGCAAAAGCAACCCCTCAGCAGGGCTCTCGGGGCGAGGGCACAGACGTGGCACAGGCTGTGCTGGGGCTGAACCCTCGCTGAAGTGCAGCCCTGGTAATTGCAGCTTGCTTTTTCTGGGGTATGAGAGGGTAGGTAGCTGCTGCGGGTGTGCTTTGAAGGAGAGAAGGGAGCTTCCTGAGGGTACCAGAAAGTCACAAGGCAGCAGAGAAGAAAACAAGATGGTTTAGCAATAGGCAAGCAGTGGAGGCAATGTAGGGATCTGCTGGGGAGGCGGCGAGTGGGCCGGTGAAGTGCTCAGCAGGCTGAGCTCAGAGTCCCCAGCTGTGTCTCACCACAAAAGATCACAAGCCCGGCACGGTCTTGGCTCACTGCACTGGCACTGGCTTTTGGCATTCCTGAGGTGGAGCTGCTGCTAGCTCTGAACACTGACTGCCTTGGCATGTGTCTGATACCTGGAGGTTCTTAGGTTGTGTGAAGGGGCAAAAGAGAAGCTAAATTGGAAGATTTTAAGTACACGTGTGTGTACTTACAGACTTAAGGTCTATACATCTATGTATACACACAGAGATGCTCGTGGTCCATTCTTTATTCTCCTTAGGCCTGTGTGCTTCATCACTCAAGTCCAGCCAGCAGCAGACAGCGTCGTTCCTCTCCTGGGTGCTTGCTCTGCAGTTCTAGTAAATCTTGCCCTGGTCTTTCTCATAGTAGAGGAGGGAGTGCCATGCTGGACACCACCAGCTCCTCAAGCTGTGAAGACCCTTCTGACCTTCTCCTTTGTCCTCTACAGACCCCATCTTAGGGAGGCATTTGACAGTTCAGGGGATAAGCAGTTCTTGCATGTGCCAGGTCATGCATTTCCCCCAAGGATGCCCCTCCAGCTCAGCAGAATGCCAACCCTGGGCTCTCTTTGTGCTACCAGAGAACTTGGAGGCAATATTCCCCCTGTCCCTTATGGAAGGTCTCTTGCAAGTTTTTTAGGAGACACTCAGGTTTGGTTGGGTCATTGTTACCCTTTCCCAAGGAGTAGTGTTGTCTTTATCTGTGCTCCTGCCTGTAGAATGTTCCCACCCCAGTGCTGGCCCGCAGTGAGCCCAGAACCACGTGCCAAGGACGGAGGAGCAGTGGATACCCAGGCAGGGATGCTGGTCACTGTCCCTCTGCTGTGGTTGTTTGAGTTTGCACTTTTACAAGTCGATTGAGCTGAAATCTTTTGATGAATATATGTCAGGCGCTTTGGAGGGTTGGGGCTTGCTGTTTACAGCCAGAAAATAAGAAAACCTGATAGATCTAGTGGTTTTAGTAAACATCACCCCACCAGGGAGCAGTGGCAGCAGATAACCCAGGTTCCTGTTGCACAATGAGGTTCAGCCAGCTGGGGCTGTGATGCTGCCTGCTGCATCCCTGCCCCCTTCTCCAGGGGAAGGAGAGCTCTTTGTCAGCTAGAGAGGGACTTAGTAAATCGGATTTGCCAGCAAACAAGCACCTTAACCACTGAGCTGTGGGTCTCATACTTGCACTTCACCTGAAGGCTCCCTGGAGGGGAGAAGGCAATTTGGTTCATGACCATTGGCTCTGCACCTGCCTGGCATCCTCAAAACATCCTTAAGCCATGTCCTAGGGAAAATAAGACCCCAATATCAGCTCCCACTCTCCTTGCTTTCTCTTGAGTGCACACAGTGAGACCAGGAACCAGGAGGGCCGAGCCTTGCCCCCATGGATGTGAACAAACCCTGGGGGAAAACTTCTCCCCACCTCGCCCCTCTGGCCCCCTGCCCCGCTCCCCACCCTTGAGTACGGGTACCTCAGAACATGCACAGTTTGAATTTTCACTGACAATTAGTTTAATTATTGTCAGTGAAAAGAATTGTAATTATCTGTAAATATGTAGTTAACAAATTGACCTAGTTTCTGTATTTTTTAAGTTTTTGTACTAAAATTTATAGATACAGTATGTGCCAGCTAGCAAAAAGCTACTGTAATTGCCAGTCGTAGTTCAGCATGCACCTAATCCCCGAGACTTGTCCAGTGATGCTGTAAGGAATTTGTGCTTAAATATTGTGAGCTGGGGAGGCCAACAGCCGCTGGCCTGGGGCTGTCAGCTCCCAGCCTCTGGCTGGGTTTTCCCTGATGGCTGTGTGGAAAATCCTTCCCTTGGGCGCACGGAGGGCAGTGCGAGGGACAGCTGTGGCTTTGAGCTTGCTCTGGAGCTGAACTCAATGGGAACCAAGTTCAGGTTCTTCGCTGCAGTTTAATACCGGCTTGTGATAATGTTTTTCAATCTCTCTAGAAATTATCTGTTTTTCCCCTTCCAACTGTTTCTGTCTTAAGCCCGAGTTCATCTAAATCTACTGGTGGAAAAAAAAAAACCAACAAAACAAAAAAAGACTTTGATTTGAGGTCGTTGCCTGCTTTTAGTGCCAGGATCACACATTTCTATGGCAACTCTGAGCTCAGCAGAGTGCAGAAATCAGCGCAGGGTTGTTGTCAAGCTGAAGTCGGCGGCCGCTGCCTCTGCACGGCTCCGGCACAGCCCGACTGTGGCTGGTGGCAGCTGCCAAGGGCAAGTTTGGGGGTGCAGTGTGGTGGCTTGTGGGGGTCCTGGTGTCCCTGCCCCACCTCAGCTGGCTTGCCCTGCAAGACCTGCTGCTGAGTGAGGGGTGGGCTCCTAGGAATGGTCAGGATCTGTGCTCCGTGTCCTGTGGCAGAGGCAAGCCTGTGAATCAGTAGCAGTGCTGAGCATCCCGGGAAGCTGCGAGCAGAGGAGTCTGAGCGCCAGTGAGGCCGTGCTCTCCGGGTCTGGTTGTCCTGGAGGCTGGAGGGAATGGGAGCTTGTAAGGATTCAAGGATCAGAGAAGGAGAGGCAGACGTGCGTGTACGGGTTTGGCTTTGGCAAGCAAACCACCCGCTTCCTTTCTTCAGCTTTTCTTCCCTCCTAACCCCCTGCAGCTCTTCCCCCTGCTTGCTTGGAACAGGAACATTTTTTTTACCTGCCTAGAAACAGCTAAAAGATGGGGGGGTGGGGGGGGGCAGCCCTGATGTAAATAATTAACGTTGCAAAGTGAAGTGTGTATAACATAAAAGGCTACAGCCCTTTGGTGACTTGTAAATGCTTTGAGAAGGTTGTGGTAAGACGTGGAGGGGCCAAGCGACCTGCCCGGCCCCGCAGCCATCGCTGCCCCAACGCCACCGCGGGGCCGGGGGGACAGGATGGGGGGACACCCCGGGCCCCTCGGCCATGGGAACCCCCCTCGGTGTAGTGGATGGGAGGGTAGCGTAACGTGTGTAATACGGATAGGAGAAGCTGTGTGAGGTGTGTATAGTGTATATTTTTTAAAAATAGCTTGCTTGTGTTGTGAAGATTTTAAAGACAAACTTGAGAATTCTAGCCTAACTATTAACACAAGTTTAACATCAGTTACCCCACTGGGTTCAGAGCCTCTTGAATGTATATTCCTTTTTGTAACCTAAATGACCTATTCTTCTACCAGTCAGCCAGACATCCTATTTATATTTTTAATTTTATATATTACTTTCCATTTGTTTTCATTATTTCCAGCATGTTTCTGGGTTTGGGTTTTTTGTTTGTTTGGGGGGGGGTTGTTTCTTTTTGCACAAGAGTTGTGTGAAGTCAAGGAAATGTTAACTCAAACCTGGTATTTTCCAACCTGTTCCCCCTCCCCTTTCTCTCCTCCACCCCTGTTGTGGTTTTTTTTTTTTTCTTTCTTCCGCCAACAGTTTGGGATTTTTCTGGGCTGGGATGCAGCGGGTGGGAGGAGGGGATGGCTCTTTTCCATTTGCAGCTTTTGTGCAAATGCCAGGTCTTTTTGCCAGTCAACTAAAAAAATGCTTCACTTGCTGGTTGCTTTAAAAAGGAAAAAAAAAAATTAACTAAAAAACAAAAATGTAACCTTATCAGTGCGATGTAGACCCCGGCGGGAGGAGGGGAAGTGCACACCTGTAGCCACACACCTCTGGCTTTGGCTGCAAAACAAAAGCAAACCTTTCGTGGTGAGGAGGTGACCACAGGGCAGCTGCTGCCCAACCCCGTGCGGGTTTGCCGGGCACGGAGCCGTGCCGGGAGCGCCGCCTGTTCATGTGCACAAACCCAAGAGCTGCCTGCTGATGACAGCAAAGCTGTTGCTGCTTTTCCTCTCCTCCTCCTCCTCCTCCTCTTCCTCCTCTCCCCCTCCCCAAGGAGGTCCAGCTCCCCTGCAAGAGCTCACCCAGCGCCCGGCCCCAGCGCCACGGCCGTTTGCTCTGGGGCACCATCCAGGTACGGCCAAGCCCGGCCGGTGCCGTGCTGTGCCACAGAGCATTAGATAGAAAAAAACCACACACATATCTGCTGTTTTACTATGAACACTGGTCTGAGGTTTCCAGGCTCAGCACCACGGTGATGGGCCACGAAGGATTTAACCAGGGGAATTAAACTCCTTCTTGCTTCCGTGTCTGGTAGCACCAGCTGGTATGAGTGAATCTACAGGTGTGCGTTTTCCTTCTTGTAGAAAATGCCACGAGCACTAACTGGTAAGGCTTAATGTACAGTATATTGTCAGTATTCTGGTATTCTTCTGGTTCAACATACATTATAGCTCATATATAACCTGTATTAATTGTATAGATTGTGCATTTAAAGCTGTTACCAAGTTGTCAGAAAATAAGAGAAGAGAAAAAAAAAATAAGGTCATATGTAATATTTTGTTTGTAAGTATCCTTTGTATCATAGCAAAGGAAATGTTAAAAAAAAAAAAATCAACTGTAATAAAGTAATTTTAGTACACGGAGTGTCTGCCTGCCTTTGTGAGACCCTGCCATGGGGGGACTACCGCGTGTAGGACCTCTGCCAGGTGAACACGGGGGGCTCAGCTGGGGGACCCCCACACCTGCGGGGCCGCGGCATCCCCTTCCTCCTCTCCTCCATCCGCAGGAACTCGGCCATGGCCCTGAAATATTCCAGCACGGCCTCGTGTGCCCAGCAGCGGCGCGGGCCCCGGCGGGGGAAGGCGCAGTGCCCCCCGTGCGGGCTCAGCAGCAGGAAGAAGAAGGGGCTGCTGCGGAACAGCTCCCGGGGCAGGCTGCGGGCCGCGGCTCCGCGCACCGGGTCATCGGCGCTGCACAGGCACAGCACCGGCACCGCCGCCTCGTCCGCGTCGCGAAGGGGCTCGTTCCGCTCCCAGTAGCTCTCCCAGCTGGTGGGGCGGCTCCTGGTCCGGCAGAAGAGGGTTTCCTCCAGCTCCCGCAGCGAGCGGCTGCTCAGGAGCTTGTCCGTGTCCACCACTTCGGCCAGAGCCCCCGCGTACCTGCGGGGATGGGGCGGCCGCCGTGGGGCTTGGAGGTGCAGGGCTGCTGCCGTGGGTGGGGGCAGTGGGGACGCTGCTGGGGACTTCAGGGATGTTGCCTGGGATGGGGGCCACGGAGAATGTTGGCAGGGGTTGGGGCGTGCTGCTGTGAGGGTGGAGGGTCATAGGGGTGCCACTTGGAGTTGGGGGCTACAGGGATGTTGCCATAGGGGTGCCACCAGCTTGTGTGCCCGTGGGCTGCTCGACAGTCCTGGCCCTGCACGCAGAGGAATAGGGGTAACCTCGACTGCCCCAAGCCCAGAGTGGCTTAGGAGGCCCATCCCAGCCCCTGCCAGGGATCCTGGAGGGTCCCCACAGCACAGCCTGGGTGCCATGACAACGGGAGACCGGCCGGCACTCCTGCTTCGTTACCGTGACAGCAGCATTTGCAGAGGGAATCAGGAAATAGGGAGGGGGGAGATTCTCTGCTACCCACCCCCCGGTACCCCATCCCTGCAGTAAGCACAGCTCCTTGCTGCACCCATCTGAGATTTGCTGCGGCTTCACCTGGCACCTGTTTGTCCCTATGTTTGGGGTTTTTCCGCATCTTTTGGGCTCCCATCTGCCCACCTGCAGAGTCCCTTTGCCCCCACAAGCTCTCAGCACTCCCTGGGGAAGTGCCCACTTGCTCAAGGCCTTGGACCAGGGCAGTTTGTCTCCTTTGTCAGCCAGTGTTTGGTCCACTCGAGCCTGGCTGTGTTGGGCAATAGGGAACCCAGACCCCTGGGGAAGGGCCAGCAGCAGTCACAGCCCCCAGCCCAGCTGTGGGTCGGCATCACAGTCCCATCCCAGGGCCAACAGGAGGGTCAGGCGCAGGGAGAAGGGCCAGCCCCACTCCCCCCTCAGGATCCAAATCCAAACCAGCACTTCACCAACCCCTCCCAGGAAGAGTTGTGAGACCCTGCCCCACATCTCCCAGCTCAGGAACCCCAAGATGCTGCCGCAGCCCCAGCCAGACTGGGGACACATGTGGTGGCCCAGCTGGCCCCACAGCAGCCAGCTCCAGGCTGGTGTTCATTAACCAGCACATTTTGCTGCCCTCAGCACCTCTGCCCCTGCACTGAGGCTCCCGGTGTCAGCAGCAGCACCCACCCCATGCACACCCCCAAGGACAACCGAGGGGTTCCCAGGGTACCCCCACCCACCTCCCCAAACCCAAGGGACTGCACTGACCTGCTCAATCCCTGCTTGAGATGGAGGAGCAGCGGCCACTCGTAAAGCCAGGGCATCCTGGCCTCAAACCAGTCCCGGCCACGGAAGATGGGAGAGAGGCAGGCGGCAGCGGCCAGGCGGCTGGAGGAGCCGCTTTCGCCCAGGTAGGCGAGCAGCAGCCCCGAGCCCGAGCCCTCGCTGACGGCCAGCAGAGAGGCAGAGGGGTGCCGGCACCGCAGGTAGGTCACAGCCTCCCGCAAATCCCCAGGGTCCCCGAAGGGCTGGAGCCGGGGGGTGGTGAGGGGGCAGCCGTTGTGGCCCCGGCGGTTGAAGATGACGGGGATGAAGCCCCTCTCCAGCGCCCGCAGCCCCAGCTGCAGCAGCCCCCCCGTCACCTTCCCAGCAGCGTTGGGGATGAGCAGCAGCACAGGGCTGGAGACCACCCCCCCGCCACCCGCAGCCCCCCACGGCCCCACCAGCCAGTCCAGGGCCACCAGCCCAGTGTCAGAGAGCTGCAGGAGCTCACGGGCCACCACCGGCTCTGGCTCAGGTGGCTGCAGGAGCTGCCACAGCATCTGGAGCTGGGGCCAGCACGGCCAAGACCAGCGTCCTCCCCGCAGCGCCGCTGACCGCCCCAAGCTCCGCACCAGGTGCTGGGCCAGAGCCGAGGGCTTGCACAGCAGCCGGCAGTGCCCTGAGCCCTCCTCGGCCATGAAGGGGATCCCCTCCTCCTCCTCCTCCTCCTCCTTCTCCTCCTCTCCCACGTCTCCAGGCACCTCCAGCCTCCCTGCCCAAAGGCACCAAGCCAGAAGGACCAGCCCCAGGAGCAGCGCGGCTGCGGCCACCAAACCCTGCGGGGACAGCATGGAGGCGGCAGGAGGGAGCCTCAGCCCGCAGCCCCGACGGTCGGCGCTTCGCAGAGCGATGGAGGGGCCGTGCTGGGAAAGCCCAGCCCCGGGGCTGGGCAAACAGCAGGGCTGTGCCGGGGATGGCCGCCAGCAGGGCCAAGGGGACTGGGTGAAACGGGAGGGACACGTGGCCAAGCCCTGCCTGTCGCCGCAGCCACGGACCCTCCACGGGCGCAGGAGGCAGGGGCAGGATGCCCGTGCATTGCTCACACCTTTATTGATACAAATGTACAAGGACACATCTTACAGTGGGGAGCGCGGCCCCGCCACGGGGCAGGACGCCCGGGGGGGGGTTCAGGACGCCCGGGGAGGGGGGGGACCCACAGGCGCCCCAGTCCAGTGTAATGCCGTGGGAGGCCTCGGGGGTACCGGCCACCCAGAGAGGGGTTTTGTGGGGAGTGGGGGTACAAGGCCACCGCCGCCACGGACAGCTACAGAGGCTATGTACAGGATAAGTTACGTGCCGCGGGGCGGGCAAGGGGCTGTACAGGGGGATGCAGGCACCTACCCCGCAGGCTGAGCACCAGCTCCTCGATGGCGCAGGGGGCACGAGGAACCCCGCACCTCGGATCCCCAGAATGGCCCCGCACAGCCACGCTCGCCCCAGGTGCCGGCTGCCGCCGGAGGGAAGGGAGACATGGAGAGTGCGGGGGCCTGGGGCCATGGGGGACGCGGCGCTCACTGCTTCTTCTCACGCGTGGTGATGGTGACCAGCTGCTTGGCGGCCTTGGCGATGTCGTAGGCACACTGGATGACCTGCTGGGTGAGGAGCTGGTAGTCCACGGTGGCGCCGGGCTCGGGGGGCACAGTCTTGCGGCACTCGCTCTGCAGTCGGTAGGCGCTGGCGTTGAGCAGCCGCAGGGAGCTCCGCACCGTCTCCAGTGCTGGTTTCTGTGGCAGAGCACAGGACCGGTGTCAGAACCCGTGCTGAGGGGGCTGACAGTGTCTGGTGGGGACCACAACCACCCCAGGGACACACTGCTCCTCCTACCTTAGGGAAGAGTGATGCCATCTCTGTCACAGCCGAGTGGATCTTCTCTGAGCAGGGCACAAAGCTGGGGGCAAGGACAAAGGGTGAGCAACACGGAGGACAGCGGCTCCCAACCATGGAGGCTGACAAGGAGTGGCCCCAACCCTGGTCAGGGTGTCCAGAAGGACCCTGAGGCTGTGCCCCAGTCCTACCTATCATGCTTGGACTCTTGTGCTGCCCGCAGCAGCTCCTGGATGTTCTTGGTGACCTGCTCAGTTTTCAGGATGACATCCTCTGTGCTGGGCAGGCCGGGGTCCAGCTCCCCGTCCAGCGGGTCCAGCTCGTGGGGGAAATCCTCATCCTTGCTCAGCTCCACATACCGCTTCCCCTCCATGCTGCAGGGACCAACCAACCACCCTGGGTCAGTATCAGCCCCCTGTCCCTGTGTCCCCACGTATCCTGGGCAGCTTCCCCCCAGCCCCACCACTCACCTGATCAGAACCTCACCAGCCTGTGTGTTGTCGTAGTCACTGTCAGTGCCGCTCCCGTGCCGGTCCAGCTTGCTCTGGAGAGGAGAAGAGCAGTGTCAAGCCCTGCCCAGCCCCATCCCCACACAGGGTCGGGAGTCTCCCCACCCCAAGGGTTGCTCCCCCTCCCTGATACATCACCATGTGTCGGGCACCATCAGGCGGGCAGGAGAGCAGCGGGGAGGATGGAGGGAAGGGCACCGAGGAGGCAGATGGACCTTTCCGGATCTGGCGGGGGAAAAGAGGGGAAGCCCATGCTGAACAGGGTGCAGAAGGGTGTGGGGCCGACCCCGGTGACGTGCAGGGGAGGACGAGCACAGGGGACACCGCCACCCTGCATGCAGGAACATTCCGCAGCTGCCGTCCCTTGGGGAGGTCCCCGACCTGACCCAGGGGGGTGCAGGGCGGTGGGGGGACAGGACATCCCAAAGGCCACATCCTGGGCAGGCGACAACCACCATGTCCCATGCAGGAGCCGCCCCCGTTGCGGCCCCCTTACCCGGTACACGCTGGCCGGGATGTGCATGGAGTACAGAGCCTCGTCCTCCACCTCCTGGCGACACACGAAAGGTTACGGCCCCGCGGGGACGGGACCCAGCACCCCGTGGGGCTGGGGGGACTGCTGCACCCCGAAACCCTCCCACCCAGCCCAGCACACTCACGCCGGGGCTGAAGGGCTGGAGCCGGGTCACCAGCTCCTCCACCGGCTGCCCGAAGGGTTTCAGCGCCGAGCCCGGCTCGTACATGGAGAAGGCCTGGCGGTCCCGGCGGTGCTGAGGAGCCGTGCCCGGGGGGTGCCCGTGCTCCGGCCGCTCGCTGGGGGCCGGGGTTGGATGGGCAGGACCAGTCTGCTGCCGGATCTGCGTGTTCTCTGCCTGCAGCTTGTGGATCTGCAGCCAGAAGGGGGAAGGCATCGGTGAGGAGGGGAGGGTACACTGAGGAGGGGAGTCTCGCTGGCCCCACACCCACCTCGCGCTGCAGCCGGCGCAGCTCATCGCTCAGGCTGTTGTTCACCTTCATCAGCTGCTGCACCTTGGCCTCAGAGGCAGCCAGAGCCTTCTTCACCTCCAGGTACTCCTGCAGCGTGATGGGGCCATCTGACAGGTCGGAGGAGTCCATGCTCTGCAGGGAGAGGAGCTCAGCACGAGGATCCCAGAGGTGGGGGTGTGGGTGGGGGTCCAGGCGGGGCCCGGGCTCACCCTGGCCCGGTTGTTGCGGGAGGCGTTGCGCAGCAGCTCCTGGTCCGTGTCCTCGTCAGAGGCGACGCTGTCGTAGTCGTGCTGGTCGTCCAGGTCACTCTGGCTCCGCAGCGAGTAGTCGAGGGCGTCTGGGCAGGGCAGGGCGGGTGCTGAGCACAGGGCAGGGGGGAGTGCTCAGCCCCACCTCACTGCCCTCCGTGCCTTACCTGTGGGGCTGAGCAGACTCTTCCCTTGCTGCCGGCGCTTGGCTTCCCCGAGGATGTCGATGAGCAAAGTGGCAAACTCCCTAGCGTTGAACCTGGCCAGTTTTTGCCGGCCCTGGGGGAAGGAGGAGGAAGAAGGGGGTGAGCAGAGAGGGTGAGCAGAGGTCTGAGCGCACAGGGAGGTCCATGTGGCCTGGCGGGGGTCTCACCTGGTTGCGCGTGGCTGAGTACTCGGGGTTGACAGGGAGGAAGGGGACGGCGCTGCGCTCTGTCACCAGCGTGCTGTGGTTCTGCGTGGTCAGCCAGACTGCAGGAAGGCAGCCGGTGTCAGACCCCGGGGCACACAGGCCCGGAGCCCCTGGACACGCCGCTGCAGGGCCCGGAGCCGGCAGGACGCAGGCGCGGGCGCAGGGCCAGCCTGCCGGGGCTGGGAGCGGAGCCTGGCCAGGCTGACGGGAATCGCCTCCCCCAATCACCCAGCAGGGCTGGGGTTCCCCGTAACCCACGAACAGGACACCCCACCACGCTCTTCACCCTTTCAGGCACCAGCTCAGCACCCCACAGCTGGTGGGAAGATGGTTTTACACGTCTGCTGGCACCCGAAATGGGAGTGCCCCCACCCTGCCACCCCCCAGATCAGGGGCACCACTGCAGGCTGACCCCCATCCCTGGGGGATCCCGGCACCCACCTCCGGCAGCACCCCAGCCCTGGCACCCAGCAGCGGCCCCAGCGCTGAGCAAACCTTCCCGGCCGGAGGAATGAAGAAGGAGGGGCCTGCGGTCCCGGCGGACACATCCAGATCGGGGGGAGCGAAGGGCTCGGCCGGGCCCCGCCGGCTGCTCCTCCCCCGCGCCGTGACTCCCGCCCCGGCCCCGGGGGGCTGCACCCCGCACCCCCCGCTCACCCGCATCGTTCTCCCGGCGGTCCACCTCGTCGTACACGTCCATGGCCAGCTCCTCGAAGAGCCGGTTGCTGAGCTGCAGCGGTGCAGGGGACAGCGTCAGGCAGGATGAGAGGGGCAGGACACCCCCCAGCCCTGCCCTGGCCCCCACTCACCGCCTGCAGCTTCTTCTTGGCTGCCTTGGCCAGTTCAGAGAGGTCCAGGCTGGGGGGTACGAGCAGGGGGGAAACAAAAAGGGGGGGTTATTCCTGGCCTGTTCCCACCAAAACAGTCCCCAGCTACACCCCACCAAGACAGGGACCCCCCCCTCAGGCATTGGGGGCTTCACCAAGCAGGGCTGGCAGGCAGGCACAGAAGGATGAAGTGGCAGGGGGCGAGCGGGACCCCCCTCCCCGAGTGCCCCCCAGGTGCTGGGCTGGGCCGAGCAGCCAGGGCTGCAGGGGGGCCCATGGCAGCAGCACGGGGGGCCCCCGGAGCCAGAGCCGAGCGGACAATACCTCTGTGCCATGCACTTTGGGCGCACCCTGCGCTCCGGAGAAGGCAGCGGAGGGAAGAACAGGATAAAGGCGGATGTTAAACGCGTGGGCACGCTGACCCCCCGCCCCCCAGGGATGCTCCAGTGACCAGGGTCCCCCCTCAGCCCAGCGGGGACGCTGGGGGGGACATGGGACAGGGCAGCGGGGCCACAGGTGCCAGGCACTCACCTGTCAGCCATCTGCGGGATGATGTAGTGCCCATTCTTGTGGTCTGCACAAAGAGAGGGGTGGTGAGCAGGGCCACGTGCTCCCTCCAGGGTGACCCCCTCACCCCAGGACCCCCCTCTCACCCGGCTTCCTGCCGCAGAGGTAGAAGGCCAGCCGGTCGGTCAGCTCGTACTGGCACTCCACCAGCCGCTCCGCCAGCTCGTGCTGGGCTGCCTGCCTGTGGGAGGGCGGGCAGGGGTGATGCCCACCCTAGGTGGGGGTGCAGGCAGGGGTGACCCCCTTCCCTGCCCTCACCTGGCATAGTCAATGGGCGTCCGGCCGTTCACATCGGGCGCCCCAGGGTCGGCACCGTAGACCACCAGCAGCTCTGCCTGCAGGATCTGCCCGGCCTTGGCGGCCACGTGGAGCGGTGTGGTGCCCTTCTCCTGCGGGCACGGGCAGCCTCAGCCCTGCAGCCTGCACGTGGCGTGAGGCTCCAGGACCCCCCCGGGCCCCACTCCACCTCTGGGGTCCCTCAGCCCCAGCAGAGCTCACCGGGTGGAAGAAGTTGGCCTGGGCACCCAGCGAGAGCAGGCGCAGGCAGGTCTCCAGGTTGCCCGTCCGCACGCTCGAGTGCAATTGCTGCAGAGGAGAGAGCTGGTAATGGGGGGGATCTGTCCCCACTGCCACAGTGGGGGTCCCTGAGCCGCCACCCCACCTTGCTGAGGTCCTTGGCAGTGACACCGTCATCGTCCCGGCAGGGCAGCTTGTGGACGAAGGCCAGCATCTGGTACTTGGCACGGATGAACTCCGACTTGGTGGGGCTGGGGGTGGGCAGTGGGTTTTGGGTGAGGAGGGGGCTTGCAGCCAGTGCTGACCCCCTCCCCACAGCACAGGGGGCACTCACTGCACTTTGTCCTGGGGGTTTGCCTTCCGGCGCCCGCTCTGCACCTGCGCCGGATCCAGAAGCGAGTGCTCCCAGATGGAGTTGGCCCCGTTGCTCGCCAAGGTGTGCACCATCTGCAGGGGACAGGCAGGGCCCAGTGGGCATGGGGGGGTCCCAGTGTGCATTTCCCCCCGTTCCAGTGTCCCCAGCACCCACCTGGAGCAGGGTGGCGGGCCAGGGGCTGTGGCGCAGGTGCTTGACGATGGAGATGTGGCGGCCCAGGCTGCGGTGCACGCTGCAGCACTCGTCGCAGATGAGCACCCCGCGGTTGATGGACGCCCAGCCAGGGTCTGGGGGTGGCATGGGGGTGTCAGGGGGTGTCCCCTCCCCATGCGGGCCCCTCCTCATGCATCCATCCAGCAGGGGGGATGCGTTGCCACAGCAACCATTTCCCGGGAGAAGGAGAGGGGCTCGGCCCATCACCAGGGGAAACCCACGGGTTTCCCATAGCAACCACCAGCCAAAAGGGGGGCAGGGTTTGGCCCCCCACCATCAGGAGGACAGCTGGTGGCAGGGATGATGCCAGCACACTCTGATCAGGGGCACCCTGGCTCACTGCGAGGTCACTCACCCCCGGAGCCCCCGGCTGGGTGTTGGGGGGTCCTGCATGGGGGCAGCGTGTCCCACAAGGGGTGGGCACCCCCAGTCCATGGGCTCCTATGTTAGGTGGTCACCAGCTCTGCACCCCCAGCACGGCAGCGCAGCCAGCCCTAGGACACCCCAGCTCCGGGGCAGGTGCCATGGCCCCCCACGCTGCCCTGCCCCTCCAGCCCCGCCGCTGGCCCCGGCCAGCCGGACTGGAGCCCTTTGTGTCCCCGCCGGGAACAAAGGATCGTTTGAGCAGCCGCGCTGGCACCAGCCCCGGCACCCGCGGGGGCACCGCTCCCGGCCGGGCAGCGCTCCCCACGCCTGCACCCCAAAAACAGGTCCTGGGGACGAGGGGGCCTGGCCCCGTGGTGCGGCCATTGAGCTGCAGCTGTTCACAGCAGCATGAGGACAGGATTTGAGGACCCCCGCTGGGTCACATCCCCCCGGGAAAGGCAGCCAGGCACGGTAACGATGCTGAAGATGCTGAATCGTTCCCAGGTGTCCCCTCTGCCGGGCACGACAGGCCAGTCCTGCCACCCTCTGCCCAGCCCCACCCCATCCCCTCGTTCCTGTAGGTCCTACACAAACACCACACTGTCCCACGCCCGGGGATACAGGGCCAGGGGAGGTGACCGCACTGACCTGCCCGATGGCCCTGAGGGGGGACAGTGGCCCCACGACCTCACAGAGGGAGGAAGGCAGGCAAGCAGCCAAGCCTCCCCCACTTCCTTCCTCCCTGCAGGGTCCCGGACCCCTCCCCACGCACCCCCCAGAGCCCCGAGGACAGCATTTTGGGGGGCACGGCATCCTGCCACGCTGCAGTGCCCCGGGGCCGGGGTGGGGTGGCCCGGGGGGAGCGGTGCCCCCCCAGCCTGGCAGCCCCTCGCACGCAGATGGCAGCGCCTTGGCAGCCGCTGCGGCGGCATCTGCGCCTTCGCACCCGCTGCCCACGGCCACCGCCGGGAACAGGACGCTCCGTGCGGGGGGGACCGGCCCGCGGCCCCCCAAGCGGGTGGATCCAGGGTATCCCTGGGGCAACAGACCCTCCCGCCCTAAAACCGCTGGGATGCGGTGTGGGATGCGGGCGGGCACTGCAGCAGATCGTGGAGTGCTTGCACAGGGCCACTCCAAACCCTGGGAGGATCCTGGAGTCCAAAGGAGCTCGCAGCACCTCGATCCCGCATCGGGACCGCACTGGTGGTGGCAGGGCTGGGGCCGGCGGCATCCCCGCGTGGGGCCGAGGGAGGCCGGGCAGAGGGACCAGCGCACCCCACGGGCACCTCCCCACGCAGGGCCGGGCAGCGCATCCCCGGCAGAGACAGCGGGTGCTCCCAGCGCGCTAGGAAACGGCCTCTGGACTTTATAACTCATTTCCTCCCATGGCTGCCAGGCGATAAGAGATTGGAAGAAACTGCTTTCCATTTCCCCTGGCCGCAGAAGGGAGCCCCGGCACCGCCCCGGGAAGCCCTGGCCCCCCGCTCGCCCGCCGGCACGGGGGATGCCAGGAGGCAGGGCAGCCTTTCGCCCACGCGTGCCGACAGCTCTGCTGGCAGGATCCGGCCATTGGCACGTGGCCGGAATAATTTGGGCACAGCCTTGGCCCGCGGGCAGCTTTCGGGGCCGGCTCGGAGACCCGTTCATTCATTGCCGTGGGGCCACCTGCGCTGGCTACGGGCAGGTTTGGGGTCCAGCCCTACCGTGGGCAGGGTTTGGGGGGGCCAAACCCTCCGCGACGCCCACGGGCCCGTGCCCAGCGTGGGGGCTGCGGGCAGCGGCACCGCCGGGGATGGGAATGGTCTTGCCCAGGCTCGGCTCTGGCTTGCAGCGCGGCGGCCGCCGGGCTCACCCAACCGGCACCGCCAAGCCCAGATCCGGCTGGGGTGGGTGCCGGCTGCGGGGTGCAGGGTGTCCCCCATCATCCTGTCATTTACAGGGTCACCAGCGCTGCTGGCACCCACCGGCGCGTCCCCAGGCTGTGCCAGCAGCCCCCGCGCTGAGGTGAGAAAGCTGCGGGTGGTGCAGGGGGGCGTGGGGCACACGGGGTGCGCTGGAGCGGCACGGAGGAGGGCATGCGGGGGGATCGGGGCTGTGTCTCGAGTGTATTCGGGTATTCCGGGAGGCTAAAAGGGGGTGCACCAACGGGGTCACGGGTTTCATCAGAGCGTTTCACTGGGGGCACATCAGAGGGCTCCTGGGGGAAGGAGGGGGACTCAATGGGGCTCCCCCGGGTGCGCAGAAAGGAATCGCCGGGGCGATGCTGGGGGCACTCAGGGAGGTGCAAAGGGCTCTCGATGTGGGGTGCGGGAGGAGATGCAAAAGGGGTCACGGGGAGCAGTCCGGGGGCAAACACCTCGGGGTGCAGCGGGGGCTGGCGGGGATGCGGGGGACGCACCGGGGGCTCTCGGTGGCGCGGGGGGAGCGCAGGGCCGGCTCCGGAGGGCGCGGGGGGGGCTGGCGGGGCCGTGCCGGTGCCGGTGCGGGGGGGCCCTTACCTGGGGCGCTGCAGTCGGCGCACACCTCTGCCCGCGGCGCCTTCCGGGACATCCTCAGCGGCGAGGCGGGCCCGGGCCCGGTCCTCTGCGCCAGCGTGGGGCGGCGGCGGCGCCCCCGGGCCCGCCGGGGGAGCGGCGGCGGGGAAGGGGGAGGGGGGGCCGGGCGGCGGGGAGGGGGCGGCGGGGCCCGGGGCGGCGGGGCCGGGGGCTGCCGGCTGCTCCCAGCGCCCGGCGGCTCCGCAGGAAGCGGCGCAGGCCCGGCCCCGGCGGAGGAGGGGCCGCACCGCCCCCGCCCCGCCACCGGCAGCGCTGCCGCGGCCGCCCCGCACCGGCACCGGCACCGCCCCGCACTCGCAGCCGCACCCGAACCCGCACCGGCGCCGGCACCGCCCCGCACCGGGACACGCAGCGGGACCGCCCCCCGGCCCGCACACGGACCCGGACACGCACGAGAATTCGTGCGGACACCGGCACCGCTGCACGCCCGCACCTGCGATCGCCCCCGACCCGCACCCGCAGCTGCAGACGCCCCCCGGACACCGGGCCCGCACCCGGGCACCTCACCTGCTCCTGGGCGTCAGCCCTGCCCTTGCTCTGATCCCGGGCATCCCCCAGTCCCGACCCCAGCGCCCGTCCTCGCTGCGCTCCCGGTCCCATTTTCATTTTGTCCTGGTCCTCCTCCCAGCCCTTGTCCTGTTTATCCTGGAGGGGTGGCACTGGTCCCATTCCTGTTCCGGGTCCTGTGTACCCCCAGTCCCAGCCCAGGGCACCCCCAAATTGCTTCAGTCCTGCTCTGGACACTTGTTCTGGATCCAGCCGCAGTCCTGGGGCAGCCCCAGCCCTCTCTCCCCGTGCCACCTCTGCCGCTGGGTACCCCACTCCCGGACACACCCCTTCTCCAGGACGCTGGGTTGGGCCACCCCTTAGGGCGCTCCATTGGGGATTTTGGGGGTGGGTGGGGGGATTGGGGACTATATGGGGTCTGCTCCCTACTGCGACAGAGGGGACACCCGTGGAGGCCCCACAGACAGCCGGGGGGGGTCAGACCCCAGCGGGAGTGGGGTCGCAGGGTGTCCCCAGCGGCGTGGGGCAGGCGGGGGGACCTCAGCGTGGGCTGCCGAGGAGGTGGCTCATGACGTAATGGGGCAGCGGGATGGGGGATGCTGTGCGGGGACAGGGGCGGGGGGATGCGACCACCGCCACCGCCTCTGCCGAGCAGAGAACAACACCGGGATGGGGAGGGGGGCTCCTCCCATGGCAGGGTGGGGAGCAGCGGGGTGGGGGACCGGGAGCGTGGCGCCGGCAGAGGCCGGGGCGGCCGCAGAGGCCCAGCCTTGCATTGTTCTCGGGCGGCAGCCGGAAAACGCGACGCCCGCCCGGGAGAGACGCAGGCGGAAAAGGAAACGGGGCTGGGGGCCCGTCCCTGCTGCTGCGGGGGTGGGAGTCGGGGTCCCCCCACCTGGTCCCCACCTGCCGCCTTCACCCCTGCCCCACCATATGCCCGGGTCCGCTGCCCCACTGAGGGAGCGGAGCTCAGCCGGGAAGGGGAAGATCAGCCTGGAAAAGGGGGAATGTGGGGAGGATGCTAATCGCCAATGGGGTCCCCCCCGTGGGATCGGAAGCCGCGGTGATGCGCTGAGCGGTGCGGGAGGGGAGAGGGGGGGGGCGAAGGAAGAGGAGGATGAAGATGAGGAAGAAGAAAGGGGCGATGCCGGGCAGGGCAACTACAAGTCCCATGAGGCCGGGCGGTGCGGGGGGGCCGGGGAAGCACCGGGCGGGAGGTGGTGGCCCGCCCCGCCCCGCGCCCCCCCCGCCCCGCGCCGCCCCGCGCCGCGCCCGCCGCGCCGCTCCAGCATGCACGGAGGATGCTCGCGTCTTGCTCGGGCAGGAAGGGGCCGGAGGGCAGGTACCCGCTGCACTACCTCGTCTGGCACAACCGCGCCCGTGACCTGGACCGGGAGCTCAGCGCCAAGCAGGTGGGGCGGCGCGGGGACGCTCCCGGCACGGCACGGCCCGGCCCGGTCCGCTCGGGCTGATGCAATGCTCGGGGCCGGGGTGAGGATGAGGATGGAGATGAGGAGGGTGATAAGGATGGGGTCGCTCTCTGCGCTGGCGGGGCTCTGGGGGTGTGGTGGGTGTCCCCACCTGCACCCCGGCACTGTGCCCGCTGTCCCCGGCGCTGCCAGGGAGCGGTGGGTGCCACCCGCGGGTCCCCTGCATCCTCCAGCACACGCAGCCCTCCGCACGTGTCCCCGGCTCCCTGCTAGGCCTCTGCAGACCCCGGCCCGCACCCCGCTTCTCAGGGTATTGCCATCCCCCTGGGGGTGCAGCATTCAGCTCCCCACCCTCAGGCTGAGCCCCTCTGGGGCGGGGGGACAAGGGCCCTGATGCTGTCAGTCCCCCAGCCTCACAAGGGTTCTTCTCAGGGTGAGGGGACCCACTTTGTCCCTCAGCCGGGGAACCTCCCAGCCGCCTGCTGATGGAGCGGGGTGTGGGTGCTTCCCCGGCGGGTTCCCAGCCTCCCTCTCCCCCGTGGCGATGCAATTCAGGTAATTAAAACCCAACCCCGAAGACGCAGGAAACCGCAGGCGCTGGAGGGAGGCTGGCGGGGAAGCTGTGCTGAGCATCCCCGGTCTCTCGGCCCGGGTTCCCAAACCCCAAGGCACCGAGGGCCGTGCTGGATGGACCCTGGTGATGCGGGAAACGGGGGTCATTGTGCCGCGAAGCTCCCGCCGGGATGCGGGCGATGGCTCCCGCCACACCCGTCTCTATTGTGGGGTCCAGCCGGAGGCTGCGCCAGCATCGCCCCGGTTCTCCCACCCCATGGCCAATGTTTTTATTTTCGTGCTCATTTGGGGTCAGTCTTCCCAGGAGCTCAGCGCGGCGGAGATCAAAGCTGGGCTCGGCAGACGGGGGGTGGAGGGGCTGCGGGGGGGTCTGACCCGCTCGCCTGCAGAGAGAATCCAACCCTCCAGCCTGGCTCTGCCCTGGCCCCCGCTGGCATTGCTGGGTGAGAGCAGAGCCAGCCCTGTGTGCACCCCAGGGGTGAGGGTGGGTGCTGCAGGCCAGACCCTGGGGCAGGTGGGGGCTTGGGGGAAGGAGGTGAGAGCCAGCCCAGGCTCCCTGCTCTGTCCAGGGCATCCAGGGACACAGCTCAGCCCTCTTCCCTGCCAGAGCACCCCTCGGGTGAGGGGTTGGGGCTGATGCTGTGTGAAATGCTGGAGGCTGGGTGCCCCCCTACCCAGGGCTCTGCCCTTCCTCTGTTTGGTGACCCACACAGGGCAGTGGCTCCACGTGCTGCCCCTCCCCAGTGCAGGTGTTTGGGGTTGGGAAGCACTGGGGCAGCTGAGAGCATTGTTCCTTTCCCTGTCCTCATAAGGGCTCTGTGTCTGTCACCCCCAAATTGTCACCATGGGCTCTCATCCACACTTGCCTCCACATGGGAGCAAGGGTCAGTGGGTCCCCTTGACAGGGACACCACGAGGATGTGGCAGGCAGTGCCATGGAGCCTGCTGTGCCAGGACACCCCTCACCACAGCCTGCCCCCTCAGGCGTGACAGGGACCCGGGGCTGCTCGGGGACACCAGTGCCTGGCACCGTCTCTGCGTGCTGGCTCGTGTCCCCTGTTGCTGCCCAGGAGCAGGAGCTGGGGTTCTCCAAGCCAGGGACAGCCCCAGTGGAGGAACGTGCTGTGCCACGTGCCCGGCTGGCACAGGAGGAGCGACTGAGCTGCGGTTCTGCACTGCACCGCTGCCACCCCAAAGCCACCCCCCCGTCCTCATCCCCGGTGGGTGTCACGGCCCCAGGATGGGCAGCACCTGGAGCTCTGTGCTGTGGTCCCCAAGCTGGAGCCAACCCAAGAGCAGGGCTCAGGTCTGAGCTCTTGCTGGCAAAATCTGGGTCACGCCAATGTCCCCTGGGGTGGCTCCAGCACCGTGTCCCCACACTGGGGACCCTCATCCTGCCCAGGGCTGGGGCAGGGCTGCAGCTGGGGAGCCCCACTGAGCCTGCTGCCCCCGCCCACAGCTGGGGGGTGATTGCCTTAATTAGAGCAGTTTCATTAGTGCAATTAAGAAGCAGCAGTCGCCTGGAGAGCGTTGGAGCGATACATTGACTCCCAGGGAACTGGGGGGCTGTTTTAGTGCGGTGGTCTGGGCAGACTGGGGTGTCCCCCTACCTGGTGAGTCCCTGGGGATGAGGGGCACGGGAATGCACAGCCTGGGCAGGGACAGGGACATCCCTGGGGCAGCAGCAATGCAGGACATGCCCAGAGCAAGGCAGGGATGTGCTGCAGGTGAGACTCGGGGCACCAGGGAGCCCATGCACCACCTCTGCCAAACATCTCTGGCTGTCCCAGCTGGCATCTTTGGGTCCTGCACCCCAGCTTTGGCCTCCTGAGGGCAGCCTCCCCAAAACCAATTATTTGGGCACTGCCTCCTGCCGTGGCTCTGGGCAGCACAGAGGGTGACCCCAATTCCCTGAGCCATATCCCCAGCTGGGCACGGGTGTGATGCTGCTTCCCACATGGGGAGCAGGGCCCGGGGATGCCCACCCACCACCGCACCGGGGATTCCTCAGGGCTGGCTGGGTGCCAGGCTCCGGGTTTGGCACAAACAGCGGGTGCCAGGCTCTGGGTTTGGCACAAACAGCAGCAGCCACAGCTCCCCAGGGCCCCGGGGATCCTCGGAGCCGCCGCTCCGCTCCCGCAGCCGCCCGCCCCCGGCTCAGGCAGGGGAACACGTGTGCCCACCGCAGCCACATCACCCACCGCAGCCACATCACCCCCGGCCCTGCCGGAGGGGGGCTGCCAGCAGCTGCTGCCTGGCAACTGGGCACAGCCCCCTCCAAATCCCAGAGGTGGGGGCTTTTCTGGAGCGTGCAGCTGCATGGAAATGTGCAGAGCTGCATGCACTGTGCCAGGGGCATCCGTGCCCCCCCAGTGTCGTGCCGTGCTCCTGCTCTGTGCCCAGCCTGGCTGTGACTGAGGTGTGCTGGGTGCTGGCAGCCACTGTTGTGGTCTCTGTGCTCTCTCCACGGGCCTGGCAGTGGCAGCAGGAGAGGCTTTGAGGTACCTCTCTTGGGGGAGGTCAGGGTGGGGCTGCTCTCCCATAGTGTCAAATGTTGGCTGCTTTCTGTACATCTGTGGGAGAGCACTGAGGAGCGAGGTCTGGCCACCCCAGTGATCTCAAAAGCTCATTCCTTCCTGGCAGGCCGACATCGAGCAGCTGGACCCCCGAGGACGCACTCCCCTGCACCTGGCCACCACGCTGGGCCACCTGGAGTGTGCCAGAGTGCTGCTGAAGCATGGCGCCGACGTGGGCAAGGAGAACCGCAGCGGGTGGACAGGTGAGCGGGTGGCTGCTGCCCTCCATCCTCCTCCAAGCTGCCCTGATGCAGGCACAGGCGTGGGCATGAGCATAGACACATGTGGACACGGGCATGAACATGGGCACAGGCATGGCCATGGTGCTGCAGCTCCCCAGGGCGCTGCTGACATGGTGCTCCGTGCTCGTGGCTCCTGTGCAGTGCCACGCTGTGCCACGCTGTGCCACGGCCCTGGACACTGCCCCTTTGCTTCACAGTCCTGCAGGAGGCTGTGAGCACCCGTGACCTGGAGCTGGTGCAGCTGGTCCTGCGCTACCGTGACTACCAGAGGGCCATCAAGCGCCTGGCGGGGATCCCCGTGCTGCTGGAGAAGCTGCGCAAGGTACCTCCCTCGGCAGGGCTGCGGGGCGGCGGCCACGGCGTCCCCCTGACCCTCTGCGCTCTCCACAGGCCCAGGACTTCTACGTGGAGATGAAGTGGGAGTTCACCAGCTGGGGTGAGCTCGGGGCACAGCGTGGCTGTGGGTGGGGAGTGGGAATTTCCCAGCAGAGTCCTCCATGCCCAGCATCCATCTCCATATCAAGGCTGGGGGTCACCTGCTCCTTTGCCCCCTGACACCCCGAGCTTGCAGACCCCCATCCTGCCAAGGCATCGCATCCCCCACCCAGCTGAGTGCTGGCAGCCCCCTCAGGGGTGTGGGTGTCCCCATCCCTGGCTGGGCTATCGGCATCTCTCCCCAGTGCCCCTGGTGTCCAAAATCTGCCCCAGCGACACCTACAAGGTGTGGAAGAGCGGCCAGAACCTGCGGGTGGACACCACACTGCTGGGCTTCGACCATATGACCTGGCAGCGGGGCAACCGCAGCTTCGTCTTTCGGGGACAAGGTGAGGTGACACCGCCACGTGCCCCTCACTGGGGAGCGGTGCCGGGTGACACGGTGGGGACCGTGGTTGTGCTGCCCCCGTTCCCTGCAGACAGCAGTGCGGTGGTGATGGAGATTGACCACGACAGGCGGGTGGTCTACTCGGAGACGCTGGCCCTGGCCGGCCACGACCAGGAGGTGCTGCTGGCTGCTGTGCAGCCCACCGAGGAGCAGGTGATGGGGCGGCTGACGGCCCCCGTGGTCACCACCCAGCTCGACACCAAGAACATCGCCTTCGAGAGGTGGGCTGGGGTGGCACCGAGCTCCCCCCCGGGGTGCTGGCAGCCCGGGCTGTCCAAGCGAGTTCACGGTGCCGTGTCACCCTAGGAACAAGTCCGGGATCCTGGGCTGGAGAAGTGAGAAGACAGAAATGGTGAACGGGTATGAGGCGAAGGTGAGGGGCTGGGAGTTGAGCTGCCCGGGGGCTGTGGTTGGTTGCAGCTGTGAGGTGCCACCTCTGCCATTCCCCCTCCTTGGCCAGGTCTATGGCGCTTCCAACGTGGAGCTGATCACACGGACACGGACCGAGCACCTCTCGGACCAGCACAAGGGCAAGAGCAAAGGTGAAGCCAGCACGGGCTGGGGGGCAGGGCTCCCCCAGCTCTGCCCTCACCCCCTCCTCTCCCACAGGCTGTAAGACCCCCCTGCAGTCCTTCCTGGGCATCGCTGAGCAGCACGTGGGGCCCAACAATGGGGTGAGTGTCTCGGGTCGGAGGGGGTGGCCCAGCAGTCAGACCTCCCCTCTCACCCCACGGGGCTGTCCCCTCATGCAGACGCTGATCACACAGACACTGAGCCACGCCAACCCCACTGCCATCACCCCTGAGGAGTACTTCAACCCCAACTTCGAGCTGGGCAACCGCGACATGGGGCGGCCAATGGAGCTCACCACCAAGACACAGAAGTGAGATGGGGGGAGCAGACGGGGACTCCCTGTGTCCCCACCTCCGCTGGGGACAGGTGGGGGTCCCCAGCCCAACGCCTGTCCCTGGCAGGTTCAAGGCGAAGCTGTGGCTGTGTGAGGACCACCCGCTGTCCCTGTGTGAGCAGGTTGCCCCCATCATCGACCTCATGGCAATAAGCAATGCGCTCTTCGCCAAACTGCGGGACTTCATCACCCTGCGGCTCCCCCCGGGCTTCCCCGTCAAGATTGGTATGGACTGGGCTCTGCTGCTGACCTGGGTGGCACAGCCAGCTTCCCTCCTCGCCTTTTTTTTCCCTTTTCCTGCAGAAATCCCCATCTTCCATATCCTCAATGCCCGAATAACCTTCGGCAACCTCAATGGGTGTGACGAGCCCGTCAGCTCCCTGCGGCACAGCCCCAGCAGCGAGGCGCCCTCGCCCAGCAGCGACTCCTCCAGCGTCAGCAGCTCCAGCTCCCTCAGTATGTGGGGGGGACACGGTGAGGTGGGATGGGAAGGGGTCACAGCAGGGCAAGGGACACACACAAGGTGGGGTGGAGTAGGAAGGCGACCCCATGGGTGCCCAGCCAGGCCGGCTCTGGTCTCCCCACAGCCTCGTGCCGAGCGTGTGAGATGGACCCGGCGCTGTTTGAGGTGCCGCGGGGGTACAGCGTGGTGGGCACCCACCAGGACGCCCTGCGGGAGGATGAGGATGACCTGCTGCAGTTTGCCATCCAGCAGAGCCTGCTGGAAGCGGGCAGCGAGTACGACCAGGTGAGCACTGCCACCCCTTCACCTCCTCCTGGCTGAGAGACCCCACCTGTGTCCATCCCTTCATCCCACGGCAGCGGGTCACAGTTCATGCTGGGGGAGCTGGTTTTTGGGGTGCCACCCTCCAACCCCCCCCTCTTTCACCATCCACAGGTGACCATTTGGGAAGCACTGACCAACAGCAAGCCGGGCACCCACCCCATGTCGCACGAGGGCCGCCGGGGAGACAGGTTGGTAAGGTCTGGCCAGCCCCGCCGGGGGGAGCGGGTGTGGGTGCCGGCCCCACGGGGACCCCACTGAGCCCCTGCTGCCCCCCAGGACTCCCCAGCACACGGCAGCCCCGCGTCCCCCCGTGTCCCCGGGGCCGGGGGGCGGCAGGGGGCCGGGCGCGCTGTTCCCCAGCTACGCCGAGCAGCTGCGCCTGGCCATGGCGCTGTCGGCGCGGGAGCAGGAGGAAGCGGAGCGCCGGACGCGCCAGGAGGAAGAGGATCTGCAGCGGATCCTGCAGCTCTCTCTGACGGAGAAGTGACCCCGCAGCCCCACTGAGCCCCTCACCCACCCCACTGGGGATGGGGACGTATCTGGGGGCACACAGGGGGAGCTGGTCCAGGAACTGCGGAGGGCAAATGGGGAAGAGGGGAGCAGGATTTGGCCCTGGGAGAATGTCCCCAGAGCCGGGGCAATATTGGGGTGAGGTGGGGGTACCCCACAGCAGCACAGGGTTGGGGTGGGTGTTAACCCTACATGTGGGGTGGCAGGGACCAGGGAGGGCAACTCCGCGGACTGTACCCCTCCTCCAGGACACCCCTATTCCCCCAGCCGCCCTACGGGGTGCTGCTCAGCCCCTCACCCCAGGAAGGCGGTGGGGGGCACCTCCTGCCCCAGATGGGTGGGCTGCCAGTGTCGTGGGGTCCCGGGGTGCCCCAGAGCCAGGGGACTCTGCCCAGCTCTCTCTTCCCACCCCTGCCCAGGCGCTACCAAGTGCACTTACCCGGGAGCTGCTCTGCCTGCCAACAGGGGTGGGGGCTCAGCCCTATTGTGCCCCACAGCCAGGCGGGGCTGCACAGCCGCCCCCCCATGGCACGGGGACTGCTGGGGCAGCTGAAGGGGTGCCTGTGAAAGGCGGCCCGGTGTCACCCCCCTTACCCCTGCTCGCAGCCCTCCACCCTGCTCGGATGCCCCCCCTTGGCAGCGCTGCACCCCCTCATCCCGGGCACTGACCCCGAGAGAAACCTTACGTCAAATGGTGCTAACCCCGGCCCCCTGCCCCGGCTGCTCCCCCTTTGCACACGGGGGGCCGGGGGCTGCGGGGTGAGGGGGGGGCTGGGCTCGCTCCCCTGGGACTTTTCAGAGCTGGTGCCCCTCCCTCCACCCACCCGTGCACCCCACAGCAACATCTGGGCCAGGGCCGGGGGAGCCCGAGCAGCTCCGACCGCGGCCAACACCAATAAATGCTCTTTAATGTTTGTCTCTCTCGGCCTCCCTCCCCTGGGCCGGGGCTCTGCAGGCAGGGGGTGCTGGCAGAGGGGTGCAGGCAGCACCCCTGGCACGGTGGTCCCTCATCCCTGGTACCTGCCACGCAGCCAAGGGTGGCTGAGCTCTTTATTAAAGGGGTCCAGGAGCAAAGAGCCGCTTGGGAGCACCCGCCGAGGGGCCGATGGGGCAGGGGAGGTGAGGGGGTGCTGGGGTGGGGGTGTAGCACCGTACACAAGCACATCCTGTCCTGGGGCGCTGCTGGTGCCCAGCGTGCAGGTCCCCGTGCTGGGTGCCTGTGGGCACTGCAGTGGGGCTCCCTTGGGTGCTGCAGTAGGGTGCCCCTGTGCCAGGATGCCAATGATGCCAGTGGAAGAGGGGTCAGGGTTGGACCCCTCCCTGCCCCCTCGGCTCCTCTGGGGGAAGAACACGGCTCCGGGCTCCTGCCCGCGCTGGGGACTCGGTGTTAATCCCCGGGGCAGTCCTGGCCCTGCCCTGGGCGTGGGCACCGCGCTAGTCCGTGCCGTTGGTGAACTGGCAGAGTTTGTTCTCCAGGTCGGAGATGCGCTTCTCCTGCGCTTGGACCGTCTCCTTCAGGGCACGGATCTCCTCCAGCACCTCCTCCAAGGCTGGCTGCTGCGGGGAGGGGGAACACAGGGTCACCGACCACTCCAGCCCGTCCCATGCCACCCCAGGGCAGGGGGACAGCCCCACTGCCACGTCCCTGTCCCCTACACTCACTGAGAAGTCTGAGTCGCAGGTGGAGTGCCTGCGTCGGGGGCCTGGCGGGGGTTTGCTGTCCAGGATGTTCTTCTTGACCACCTTCAGCTCCCGGTTCTTGATGGGGACGTAGCCATCCCGCAGCGAGATGAGGATGGGCTCTGCGTCCTTCCCCGACAGCCACTCATCCGCCTCCAGGGCTGGCTCGGGGCCCGGCGTGTCAGGGTAAAGGTCATCCTGGAAGAGGTCTGACTGCGGGAGGGAGGGAGAGAGACCACGGTGAGATTGGGGTGTCTCCCCCCAGGCCCCCATCTCCCCTGGGACCCCCCCCAGGCTCACCTTGCGTGGCACCGTCATGACAATGGGCTCGCACTTGCGCTCGTGCAGCTTGAAGAACCTGCGTGGGGCACAGGCAGTCAGGGCCCTGCTGACCCCCTGACCCCCCTGGCTCCCCCCAGCCCCCTTGGCTCTCACCTGGCGATCTCACACTTGCTGACATCCAGCCCACGCTTGGGCATGAAGCCCATGCCCCGCTGGGGCTCCTTGCTGCTGTAGGTGTTCAGGTAGTGCACGTAGGGCGCCTCGTCCGTGATCTCGAAGTACCGGATGCTGCTGTCACCCTGCAGGGGTGGGGACAGGTGTTAGCCAGCCCTGGCACCCTCAGGGACAGGGTGGCATGGGGGGTGCACCCCGGGGAAGGGGCTTACCTTCCCGCAGAGGTAGACGATGCTGGAATCGGCGTCGTAGAAGGGCAGCAGGACCCCGTTGCTCGTGTCCATCTCTTGCAGGGCAATGGGCTCCTCAAAGTTATTCTGGGGGGCCGGAGCAGTGGTGGAGGGGTGTGAGCAGCGACCCCAAAACCCCCACCCCAACCCTTGTTAGTCACACACATTAGCCACGGCACACTGGGGGACAGGGCTCGTCCCCTCCAGGGTACACAGCCCCTGAGGCAGGCAGCCTGGCATGCCCCCCCAGCCCCACTCCTGTTTACCTGCATGGCTGGGTACCCCCAGCATGGCTGTACCCCCCTTCCCCAGCACTCCCTGCTTCCCAGCCCCCTCCCCACCCCAGCACAGCACGGCACACTTGGGAACTTGGCATCTTTTGGGAGGGGGATGCAGCAGACACGGCATCCTGGGGCGGGGGGGGTTAGCAAGGGGTCTGGGGGCCAAGTTCCCAGGGCAGCACTCCATTCCCGGGGCAGCACTCCATGCGGCCTCGTTACCGGGTCCCACAAGCCCAGCTCCCGCTGGCTCATTCTGGTAAAGCCCGTGGTAAAGATGTGTCCTTCCCGTGTGAAGATGGCCCGCACGGGCCTCAGCCCTTCGTGAGGGGCAAACCTCTCCTGGGGGGAGGGGGAGACAGTCAGCAGGGGCATGGGAAGGAGGGAAAACGGAGGGGGTCCGGATCTGTCCCCCAAAACAGCCGCTGAGTCCTATTCCACGACGCCCCGTGAGCGCGCGCGTTGCCAGAGCGTATCCCCGGCCCCAGAGCGTTCCCGGCTGGGCTGAGATCTGTGGGATTGGGCTGGAGCCGCCGTCCTACCAGGTCCCAGAGGCCCAACTGCCGCTCGCTCATCCTGCTGAAGCCCGTGGTGAAGATCTTGCCATCGGCCACGAAGATGGCGCGGATGGGGCGGGTGCCGTCGTGCGGTTTGGTTTTCTCCTGCGCCGGCGTTAGCGGGTTAAATCAAACAGAGACGCGCGGTGCGGGGTTAGTAGGGTCAGGCAGGCGCTGGGGGGACCCCGCGGTGGGACGGGGGGACACGGCAGGGGCGCTCACCGCTATGATCTGCTGCTTGCGGGGGTCGATGACGCGGACCTTCTTGTCCTTGCAGGTGGTGACCAGGAGGCTGCCGTTGCGGTTCCAGCCCACGTTGTAGATGAGGTCAGTGTGCATGTCGTCCAGAGCCAGCAGCATCTCCCCAGTGCCCACATTCCAGAGGATCACCAGGTTGTCACAGCCTGCAGAGGACCGAGGGGGCAGATGCTGTCACCCCATGGATCTCCTGTGACCCTGGGGAGGGTGACCCGGGACCCCCTTACCTGCGCTGAGCAGGACGTTGCGGGCGGTGGGGTGCCAGGAGATGATGCTCACCCGCTTGGAGTGTCCCTCCAGTGTCACCACGGGCTCCGTGATGTTGCGCACGGGGACATAGTCGGGGATCTGCCACACCTGGGGGGGGACAGAGAGCGGGGTGTTGGGTTGGGGATCACCCTGTGTGTGAGCACTAAGCAGATGAAGGCCTCGGAGCCAATTAACCTCATCATTAATCCCAGCTCAGCCTGCAAGGAGGGTGGTGAGGGGACGCCAGCAGCGCCTCCAGCCTGGAGCACATCACCAGCATCGGGGTGCAGGTGGGCACAGGGAGGGGGGCACAGCCAGGGTGCAGCCCCAGCTCCCCCCAGCTGTTCCTGCGTGCTGAGTCGCCAGGGAGGGTAAATTTAGCACAAACTGCTGCATCATGGAGCCAGCAGCCGCCGCCAGCGCGAACGCATGGCACCGGGGCTAAAAATAGGCCAGTGACACTTCACAGGCGGCGAGGGGAGGGGGGGATGCTCTGCACCGCTCCCCCAGCGCCCGCCACCCTCCCACGCGGCGTCCAGCCCCTCACCATGACCGTGGTGTCCTCCGAGGCGCTGGCGATGACGTTGTCGTTGTGGGGACACCAGTCGATGTCCAGCACGGGCGCCGTGTGGCCCGTGACCAGCGGGTGGTTCTTGTCCACCCGTCCTGTCTGCAAGGCGAGGCACCAGGATGAGTCCCCTGGGAGAGACCCCAACAGGGTCCCCCCCTGCAAAGCCTGGCCTGGCCACCACGTGGGTTGTGGCACAAATGGGGACATGCAGGGGATTCCGGCTGTGGCCGGAGGTTTGCACCTGCCTTGAAGGGGGAAACTGAGGCACGTGAGGCCAATGGGGTTCACCTGGCACAACGCCTCACAGGGACACAGAGGGAATGATGTGACCCATGAGAGGCTGATTTGTGTCTGCTCGGATGGCAAGGAGGGGTTGGGGACCCTCTCCCAGTCTCTCTGCCAGGGTTGGCAGGGCAGGTTCCCACTCCACCAGGTGCTGCTCCCTGGGCATGCTGTGCCCCCAGGGAATTGGGGCTGGGGAGAAGGCAGCTGGGGGTTTTCCAGTCACCTTGGCTGCCCCAGGGATGTCACCCTTGGCAGGTGCCAATGATCCCCCAGGTTGTTCCTATCCTGAACCCCCACATGAGGAGGGGGTGCTGGGGGAAAGCTGGGGGGCTCTGGGGTCACAGCAGGTCCCCAAAAGCAAAACCCATCATCAGCACATTCCCCCAGCACATCTCAGCAGCGTGAGCAAACCCCAGCATCCTCCCCACTCACCTTGGCAAGGGGCAGGACAATGAAGGCCCCACCACCTCCGGACTCCACAATGATGGCCACAAACTTGGGGTTGACAGCGCAGAAGGAGCTGTCACATGTCACCTTGGAGACACGGATGTCCTCGTACATCTGGTCTGCCTTCACCGGCTGCCCGAACACGTGCCGGAACTTGCTCTGGCGCACCACGCGGCGGCTCATGGCTGGGGGGACACGGTCAGGCCACCACCTCCCCACCCTGGCACGGCTCCGAGGGGTTTCGGTCCCCTCGTGCTCCGAGAGACTCCTCCTGTTCTGGGCACAGCGGGAAGCCTGGGAATGCTGAGGTGGTGGGAATGAGATGTGAGATGGTGCCACCCTGAGCCCACATCGGGGAGCAGGGGCAGCCCTGGCGCAGGGATGTGGGGGTGCTGCAGGGGGTGGGGGCTGTCAGTGTTGGCCAGAGCCACTTGGCACTGGGCAGGGACATGTCCATGCCATAACCAAGAGCTGTGCTATGACCTGTGGCTGTGCCATACCCCACAGCTGTGCCACGTCCCACAGATGTGCCGTGCCCCATAGCTGTGCCACGTCCCACAGCTGTGCCGTGCCCCATAGCTGTGCCACACCCCACGGCTGTGCCACGTCCCAGAGCTGTGCAATGCCCTGTGACTGTGCTGTATCCCACAGCTGTGCTATACCCCGTGGCTGGCACTGGGGTTGGCACACGAGCTGCAGCAGCACATGAGCAGGGTGGAGGGGACTTTGGGGCGGACATAAAGGTGCCCTGCACCAGGTCACAGCTTGTCCCCTTGCATCCCATCCTGCATCAGTGGCCTGAGGTTGCCTGGCTTGACCCAGCACCCAGGAGGAGAGCTGTGCATCCAGAGCTGCCTGCTGGTGGTTCATGCCTCCTTCCATGGATCCCTGTCCCATGCCACA